CACACGTAGACACACACACACACATACACACACACACACACACACACACACACACACACAAACACACACACACACACACACACACACACGATGTTGGTGAAGGACTATTCCGTCTTAGGTAAGTTGTACTCTGCCCTCCATGGCTTTATGAATGAATGGTTCCTGGCCCTGTGATATGTACAATGCTTCACATGAAGGTGATAAATGGGGGTGTCGGAGGAGTTGACTATTGCGTGCCAGATTCATTTCGATGTCAAAGATTCGAATAAAAAATGACACCCACTAGCCAACCCTCGTATGATGTCCGTGTACTGACTGGCATCGTTGAACGACCGCATACTTCGAGCAGATGGACACACATACAACATTAAACAAACCTTCACAGAGCTTGAAATCATCGTTTTGCCGTTCTACTTACAGACACATAGACAAAAGCACAACCATGATGTCGATGTAAGAGGCGCAGGCGAGGACAACTCTTAAAGAGGTGATGCAATACGCGGAGGAGGGCATCCACGATGACGACGGGGAGCTCCGACTACTCACGGAGAGAGTGTCGAGTTACTTCGATGTCAGAGTGAACATTCGTGCAAGCATCACTGCGAACGGAGAGGAGTCACTCAGAGCACGGATGCTATTGGCACGGTTCATTGAGGCGCATGATTTGCGTGTAGACAACACTGCTGATAGCAGTGCATACAGTTTGAGAAAAGTGGTTGGTTGGATGTGCACAGAAGGGATGTCCGATGAAGGCGACGTGGATATGACAAAGCAGCAGAAGGGTGGAATATACATGCCAGCCGATTTCAAACAGATGTTGATGACACAGACGAAGAAATGGGGAATGCTTGTTTAAGGTTCTAAGGACGAGATGAAGAGCGGTGCAACAGAAATTTTAGTACTCTCGCGTTTGAAGGACATACCGCAAGCTCCCCCGCCAGACTTCCAAGAACTTCCAGTAATTATTGCAAACGGGGTGGAGTATGTTTTACTCGACCAACTGGTGGATTTCATGAAAAAGAAACCTGGCGATCGCAATGTCATACATGAGGCATTGCATGATGTGACAGAGCAAGCACTGGCGGGCCAGGACCTCATTACGTACAGGGTGCGGAGAGTCGTATGTGGTACTCCATTGTGGGATGAAATGTTCATGGCAGCTTTGCATCGCCTCAGCATTGCGACTTCTGAGGTGGACAGAAATAGGTCAAGGGAAGAAGGATGGAAGTTGGTGGCCAGGGAAGCAGATATTGCACTTCATGCAGCAGATGGACACGCTTCAGCAGGGGAATAAATTATGAGAACAGCCTCCATCGTGCGTTCTCCAATAAACACAATGTCGAAGGAGGAGGTAGAAGAAGAAGATGTGTTCAATGACTGGACAATAACAGAACAACAACGGGAACGAGGGTTCGAAGACTCTTCTTTACCGATCGATTTCGAATATGAGATTGAAGAAACAAGAGTGATCAACCATGAAAAAGATGCGAGGGCGCCTAACAATGAGGTGGAAGTGAGTGACAACGATCTGAACAACGACGAGGAGGGTGAGGAATATGATGCCTACTGGGATATGGAAGAAGGGGGAGGACAAGCGTCAAAATGGTGGGCACATGCGATTCTAAGGTTGACACGTGTATTCTCTAATCCCCATTTACTGTTGCGTGTCATGCTGAATGAAGCAACACCTGAGGGCGCACTCCAGTATGCAGCACTAACGACTATCATGAGATCATATGCTCGAACGGAAAAAGATGGTCACGAATGGGGAAGTCATGGTTTGTCTTGGTCAATAGAGAGGCTGTCCTCGCAACATCACTTACGTGGGGCCTGGACCTTAGTTGCCTCCTGCACGGGGCAGTAGCCAGTGGTTTTGGTGCTACATTGCACCCGATACTATCAACAGGAGAGGAAATACTTCGTGCTCACACATGGCTTGACTGCGCACCAAACACCATGGTGGACAGCGGTGATACAGATATTGGTAGTGGACAGCGTTGAATGCAACTATTCGATGCACAGGTTATGCATATCATGATTAATTATGCACTGTGCGGTCACGGAGTGTGTGCAATATTTCACGTGTTCGAGTGCTCGACAAGGGTGTACTTTTTTTTTTTCTCTCTCTCTCTCTCTCTCTCTCTCTCTCTCTCTCTCTCTCTCTCTCTCTCTATGTGTGTGTGTGTGTGTGTGTGTGTGTGTGTGTGTGCTTGTGTGTGTGTGTGTGTGTGTGTGTGCCTGCCACGCGTGTATATGTGTGTGAGTGTGTGTGAGTGTGTGTGTGTGTGTGTGCGCGCGCGCGGTCAGGAAACGGGGATGTGACAATGTGAAAGAAAATGTGGCATG